ACAATTAAGAATAACCCGAATTCGACTTACACCCTATAAAAGATAGAGATCATATAAATAAGATACATTTTTATATTTTTCACAAATCAAATAAAAAATATCCAGAATTGGCTTACAATCTAAAATAAAAATATATATATGAATAAAATAAACTTTATTCATACTATTTACGAAACAAGCTATCCATGATACAGCTTACCCCCTATTAAAGCTTAACATTAATACATCAAATATAATTTTGTGGTTTTACAAACCATAACAAAGAATATTTTGGATTCAACATACAAACTATAAATGTTGGTAATTGATATGATAAAATTTCATTCGTGTGATTTACAAAAGAAACAGGAAAACGTTCTGGATTTAACTTACAGTCTAAAAATAACGACAAATACAAAAAAGCCTCAATTAATAAGCTATATAAAAAGAAGAATAATAATTAACTTACAGGCTAAAATAGGGAATAAAGAATACATTAATAATTTATATATTCCAAATAACGAAAAGCACCCTGTCCTGGATTCAACTTACGATCTATAAAGGAGTTATTAATATAATTAGTTCACATTTAACATCGCTTACAAAATGAGCGGAAAATCTTGGAATTAACTTACCATCTACTGGACAATAAAATAAATTTGAATATAATTATCATATGATATGGATCAATATCAAAAGTACCATCGGTTCAACTTACACCAGCCTATAACTGTAAAATGTTTTAATTCAATTAATCTTATTTCATATAAAATTACGAAATGATAACAAAAAATCCTTGGTTCAATATATTAATTACAAAGTTAACGATTAATAAGAATTTTACTTCATTTTTAATGATATATAAATTTGTCTTGCACAGATTGTGACTACAAAAATTATTAAACTGCATTTTATCTTTAAAAAGCCAACCTTCGGTTTCTTCTGCCATTTCTAAAATCATATGAGTATCTGATTAAATCAAATAATTATGTCAAATGAAAAAAAAAAGAAAGAAAAAATTAAATACCGTAATTCCAAGTGTCGCAATATGTCGCACTATCGTGCCTAATGCAGCACAGTAATACTGTATTATACAGTATTGCATTAGAACAGCACGTGATAAATCTCGTTTATTAATACTGTAAACTGTACAGTATAAGTTAGTAACGGTAACTTACCTAAATTCGAATGCTCCTAATTTGCATAACTCAAATTTAACGTACACAAATTTTGCTTAACCAAAATTTCGCATAATAAAGGAATTTTCATAACTCATTTAATTAATCAAAGTCTCAGATAACGCAAAATTTTTCTTTATTAAATATCTTCGTTACTTTCGTTTTTTCTAATTAAAGTATCGCATAACTCAAATCGGAGTATTGCATAACCTAAATTTTTATTATAAAAATTTTGGGCGACCAAAAATAATAAATAAAAATTTAGCCTTTATGCACATATCCATATAAATGATTCTTTATTTATTAATTATTTTATATCTAATATAATAACAATAATTAATCCATATTTAATTAAACCAAGAACTTTATTAAAACTAAAATTTTTAAAACGTTAGTAAAATCATTACTTTATGTATCTCATTCATCCCTTATACTGTAATAGTAAACAAAGTCTCGACTAAATATATTGTATTATTGTCTTGAAACATAATTGCATTTAACTTACCACCTATAAGAACAAATAAGAATACCACAAAGATTCACTTCGCGTATTTTGCGAAATATATATGAAAATTCATGTGCCGACTCATCATAATAATAATGCACAAGAATAAAATTAAACATTATTTTGTACAATATATAATATATAGTCAATATCCAAATAAATCCAAACGAACTTATTGTATACAGTACCGAATTTTGCTTTCCATATACTATAGCGGAAACGAAGGTATAATTAAATTTCACTCGTTCATTAATGGTGACATACCAACTATACTAGAATATAATAAGGCTACAATTTAAATCGTCATATATTTTACAAAAAATAACCAAATACCCTGCATTTGACTTACAATCTACAAAATAATAATAATATATACAGTTAAACCTAATTATTTTACAATATAATGAATTACAAGAAATAACAAATATACTTTATATTAAACTGGTCATTATAATAGTAAAGATATATTAAACATTATTTACTCTATAATTAACAAATAACGAAAATTTTGCAGGTTCGACTTACAATCTATGATGGCAAGAAGATATGATCAAAAAAGCGAAAACGTAAAAATATATTTTGAAAACAACTCACCTTCTATAAAAGAATGAGAATAAAGTACAATAAAACCATCTTTCCTGTAATAATAATTAACTAATATATACTGGATTTCACTTACCCACTGTAGAAGTCAAATCAAAAACATTCATGGTTGTAATCTATGTTTAACTTTCAATCTAAAATATAAAAATATTTCATGGAATTTTAGAATATCATTGTATAACATTACAAAGAAAATTAACCTACCATATACAATAAAAATAATAAATACACAGATGTTTCTCATTTTAATATAACATAAGAAACACTTTTTAAAAAATATTTATTTACATGTTTGATATACAAGCTATACAGTATATAGATAATAGTTATTATATAATTTTATTTATTATTTTATGATTACTTTTAATTAAGAGTTGTTTGAATTTTTTAATAAATAATTATTATTAATTTTATATTATATAATTAAAAATACAACTTGTTTATTGATATTCACTTCAGCAATTAGTTTTATTATTTTCATAAGTATTGGTTATTTTATATTATTTATATAAGTTTATTTGCTTACAATAAACTACAATTGCTGGAATTTATAATTTATTATAAATATAATGTAAAACAATTAGTTTATTATTTAAATAAAGCTTCACATTAAATACTTATTTGTAATAATATATGTATTACAAAATGGTAGAAAAATAAAGTAATATAGACATATGATGCCCTTTCCAATTAGGGTTTAATTGGAGCTTGAGAGAATTTTTGAAATTTGGGGATTTTTTACACATATAAAAAAGAGAAAAATATACTAAATAAATATTTTTTAAAAATAAACTCAACTCAATATTGAACACTTTCATTTATCTTATGTCAAAATCCACATGCCTCTATTTGACAGTCCACAATTGACAATTGCAAAATAGTGACAAACTTGTCATTTATTATCCTAACAGTATATATAATTTGTTTGTTTTTTTTGTATTTGATATATTTGTAATTTTAATTAATTATATATCAAAAAGTTCAATATAATAAAATTTTTTAGAAAATTAAAAGAAAAAAAAAATTTTTAAAAAATAAAAAAATATAAGAACTAAGAATTTTTTTTTGAATTTCAAATATTATGAATTCTTTAAAAAAATTTTATTTCTAATTTGATTTATAGAAAAATTTTCATATAGAAATTTTAACAAATAATTTTTCGATTTATTTATAAAATAACCAAAAAAAACAGTCTTCAAAAAAGAAAAATAACAGTAATTAAGAAATGTATTTTATTGTAATAAAAGTAAGGTTTTGAATTAATAAAAGTACTAGTAAAAATTCTTTATTAGTATATTTAATAACAAACAAACAAATATTTATAATTATAATACAATTAATATAATATAATAATTATCTTAATAATAACAAATAAGATTAAAATAGAATAAAATAAAATAAATAATAAAATAAAAAAAATTTATAGAAAATAAAAAAAAAGTAATAATTAAAAAAATAAATTATTATTTAATTTATCATTTTTTTTTTATTATAACAAATATAATAATAGAAAAAATTTGATATAAAAAATATTAATGATTTATATTATTAATAATATAAAAAAATTAATTAAACTACTATTTATACTGTATTAAATTCAGAAATGGTTAATATAATTTTAATGAAACTTCAATATAAGATAGATACATGCTATATTAGAAATTTTTATGATACATTAATTTTTTATCTTAAAAAAATCATCACATACTGTATATAGCACAAAATATGCTTTATATTTGTATAGTGTTTAAATAAAATTAGTAAGTCTGTTATTATGTTGTGATTGTTAATTATATCGTATTTAAAGTATTTTAATGTTGTATATGATAAGTAAATGCGTTATATAATATAGTGAGTTAGTGATTAAAAGATATTTTATTCTTTTTATTATTGCTCTATACAATTTTTATATTTTATGCATAAAAAATAAATATAAAATATCCCAAAAATGTTAAAAAATTCTCAAGTCTCAATTATACCTTAACTGAGTGGACTTATTATGCATGACATAATCAACTTTCTTTTTATCCTCCTACAACAGTAATTATTAACAAAAAATAGTAAGTAACAATTATTATTAAATGATTAAATAAAGATTTTATTTCAAAATTCATCAAATTAAAATATTTCATTAATGATAGGATCAAATATCTTTAAGATATTTTAAATAATTATAAAAGTTCTCTAAAGAACATAAGAAAAATATCCATGATTTAACCTTTATACGTCTGTATCTCCCGAATTATTTTATTCGAGCTATTAGCATGTCATGGTCGAAATAAAAAGCTGCACTTTTAAGCCTTCTGTTTGAAAAAATTGTAAATTATTATTTATACAGTATTTATTTTTTTTAAATGCATATATATTTTTATAATTACAACAGATAGTAGAATTATTTCTGCACTGATGAAAAATTATCAAATTTCCAGAGTTTATAAATTTATGTAACATATATATATAACTACCATAATTCATAAACTTCTACTCATGAGTATATTGTCAAAATAAAATGGTTTTTAATTATAGTATCCACAAATTTGTAAATTAAAAGAACGTTTTCACACAAGATTACGAATTTATCCTATAAAAAACCTACCAATGACGTATATGAGTATATCATTCTCTCAAACTCATCACAAGATTCTAAAAATTAAAAAGTTACGATTTACAGAACGTACTGATCAAATTACAATCTTCTTTTAACAGTTTTTACATGTATTACTTTAATCCTTTGATCATAAAATTTTGAACTTTCCCGGATACTTAAGTGAGGCGACAAAATAAAGTTTTGATGGAAGATTAGTCCATGACGTAATTGGTGGATACCTTGTACCGTTGACTGAAAAAGCGACCGTCTTATTATTCATGTTTAAGTGCACAACGATTTCCACATTATCCTGATGGAAATCTGGGATTTTACTGATGCCATATAAGCCTTTATTTGTATAGAATCCGCCTGAACCTAGAACCCATCCATATTGTTGTGATCCAGCAAAAGTAGACAAATCAAGCCTTTCGTCACAAACACCAACCCACGCATAAGTACAACTTTTTTCGATTAGAACGTGAAATTCGTGAGTGCCGCTACTCATGAGATCACTGGTTCTTACATTTACATGACTATTCGTATTTTGAGATGCACTAACTGTATATCCATCGTTGCTAATATTTAAACCTGGACCGCAGCCATTTTTGTCCCATTTAATATCAGAAATTTGAGGAGAGCCATAGTATTCTGATAATGGTGATTTTTCACAGATTTGAAATCGATAGGAACCCATGATTTTATTATACGGAATAATATTTAACGGTTCAATTACTTTTGCAAGAATTTCTCCGTTAATCCTTCTAAAATCAATATGCTCTATGACCGGAGTTATAAGATCAGAAATTGATGTGGCAAGTTTCTTCTCTATCAAATTATTATTATTATTATCTTGAAGCGACAAAACCTTGATTTCACTCCATAATAATAATCTTTTTTCTAGAATAGAAAATGCTTCTTGGGATACTTTTCTCGCAGCTGACAAAATTGTAAATCGTAAAACAGAATATTCACTAGATGCAAATATTTTCTTTTCGTTCCTCTTTGACAATAAGCACTGTAAACCTTGAAGTGACAATCTATCGAATTCAATAGAATCTAAAGGAATTTTAGCTACCGAATCTGCTAAATAGTTAATGACACCATTATCGGCTAAAGGTGACATTAGCTGGACTGCCTTAGATAATAATTCGGGTGATTTATTTTCATTTCCCTCTTTCTCACACATTTTTTTATAACATTCAGAAATAAAGTCTTGAAGGTTTTCTAATTGAAAGAAATCTGCCGCATGTAAGGTTTCGAAAGCATTATTGGTCGTAATGTCCCTCTCCAAAACTGTTTCCGTGTACAAATATTCAAGAATAATTTTCATAGCTGATGCCTCAATTTTTGGAAACGAAACCTGCTTGTCAGAAGCTTCAGATCTTGTAAAAAGCATCCTCTCAAATACCTCGGAACGAGCGGCAAGAATTGCACGATTTCCATAAAGAACAGAATTATCTTTGCACCTGATTTCCAAATCACTGTACCGAGGATTATTAATAAGAAGTCTCAAGTCATTGATAAGAGAGTTTCCGCGCACCATTATTGTTTCAGGAGTGATAACTGACACAGCAGCTACCAATGCAAGAATTTTTATACAGAATGTACAAATATCCTAAATATCGTAATAAATCGGCACACCAGAGCCTTTGTTACTATATTAGGTGTGTCATCTGTTCGGGTGCATTTACAATGAATTTGTTTCCGAATTATAAAAATGTAAAGATTTATGTCATCGTATACATCGTCACGTAATAAAAACTATAAAAACAGTATGAACACCCATGTCATAAGTACACATTATTTTTTATATTTCAGTATCCACTGAATTCTTATCTAAGATTATTAAAATTACAAATACACTCGATTCAATTTATTGAGACCATATAAATAAAAATCCTGCATCAACAAAAATACGTAGCATATCTCGTTTTATGAAACCTAAAAGAAAAATGGTTTTATGTAATATCAATATAAGTTCAATGTAAAAACGAGTGCAAATTATGCTTGGGTTATTGTCATCACTGGCAAAAGTATCCCATCATTCTTTTCTTTATCCCATTACCTTCACGTTCAACAAGATTAAAGGATACTGAAGAACTCATTAATGCAATTTTTATTGCAGTTGTCATATTAGCGGCAAATATTTTCACTTGATTACAGTATAGGATAAACAAGATGAGAATCATCAGAAACTGCAGTATGCATGTATTATGAATGGAGCAAATATCCGTATAACCGACATAAAGTTAATTGATTATATTAAGGTGAGATTTAATTTAACAAAAAATTAAAAGAATATCGAATCTAATAGAAATTGTAGAATATTACATAATTACTTTACATTTCTTTTCTTTTACCTTTGTATTAGCTAACTACTATTTTCAACAAAGTCTATCATTCGCGAAAACCATTCACGTGGCAAAAGTCGAATTTGACCAACCTTTGTTTTTACTCCTGATAGTGATATACAGTAACTGTACGGCATTTCCGAAGCTCTAAAATAATTTTAACTTATTTCAGGACAAAGCCTCCAACCAAAATAATGAATTGTTTGCATAGATACAGTATATTACGGGTAATTCTCACGCGTAATAAGCATTCTAAGACATAGTATACAATAAAATACTTGCTTTGAAAAAGGTCATTTCAATATAAATAAACATTTACTAATATAAAATTTATAGCAATATACTGATTATTTTTATTAATGATTTTGATATTATGATTTATAAAATTTTATTTAATAAAAAATAATTAAATATCGCCAATAAAAATTAATAAGCTATTTAAACATATAAATTTATTAAAATAATTTAATTAAAGATTTTAAATTTATTTAAGAATAATAATAAAATATAATGTAATGTAATGTAAAATAAATTGTTATAAAAACATTTTTGATTTTTATTCTTATTACAGTGAACCCTCTCTAAATGCACACCCCTCGGGACCATAGGAAAATTTTTGAAAAATGTGCATTTATAGAGGGTGTGCATTTATGGAGGTAATTTTATTAAGAGTTCTATGTACTTGGGACCAAGCTTGACCATGCATTTAGAGAGAGAAAATATAGTAAGTGCATTTATAGAGGGTGCATTTAGGGAGGTCTCTCTGTATAAAATTTTTTTTTCTTTTTTTAGTTGCAAAAAAAGTATTAAATAAAAAATAGTCATTAATATATTGTATATAATATTACAATAATATCAAAAATATTTTTAAAATGTTATATTTGTAATTTACTATTAGGTACTAACTACAATTATTATTATATTTTTTATTAATTTAATATATAAGTATTTTAAAATTTTTTGCAAATAATAATTTTGGTTTTATAACTTTATTAATAATAATTTAATTATTGAATATAATTTAATAAATATTTTTAATTTATAATTAATTTTACAAATTTTTATGAAATTTTCTTAAAGAAATATTTTCAATACAAATTATTTTTAATTATATAAATCTTAAATTATTTATATGTAAATTGGTTAATAAAATTTCAAAACTTTAAATATTGTTACAATAAAATCACGACGAGTCAGTTTGTAACAATCTTGAATTATATAATATGGAATCCAGATTACCCTGATAATCTGGATCCTCCAGATTAGCCTGATCAGCCATATAAGAATAACATAATACTAGCTCCTAACAATACGATTCCATAGTCATATACAGTATATATATATTTCCTAACTCAGAATAACTATAAAATGACTATGAAATAATATTATTATATATAAATAAACTTAGCCATAGTTGTATTCTATTCTTTTTACATGTTTACTTTATTTACTTTGTTTATTTTCTTTTTTTTTTAATGTTAAGTGAGGCATTTCTCGTGATCTTTATTAATAGAGTAATCGGAATTGAGGTTACATGATTAATATTAAGATACTGAGATACATCGCTATATATGTCAGCCTACCACCGTACTAAGCATA